GGGGGGACGAAAAGGGGGGGGGAGGCCCAGGGGGAGTCGGGAGTGTGGGTAGTCAAAGTTGCAAAATCTGGCCATGTAACTACCCATGTGGTGCGGTGGTTTTTTTTTTTCGTTTTCTTTCTTTGTTTTGTTTGTCTTTTGTTAAAGGCGCAAAATCGTGCGATGTAGAGAGAGAGTCGAGAGAGAGAGAGGTGCAGGGGGAGGGGGAGGGGGAGAGAGAGAGAGAGAGATTGCATCGGGCAGTTCCCGCCTTATTTGTTTTTGCGAGCAAAGCCGCAACAGGTCATCTAGTGGAAATTAAAGAACGAAATTCGGGTGAGACATCCATGCTTGGTCTGAGCACTCAGATCTGGTCGTACTTCCAATTTGGTGGTCGTTCTCGCTCAGGAGAGATTGCGAGGGGGGTTACACAGTTGTATTCATTGTGCATTTAGGGAAGGGATTCTCAAGGGATCGTCAGCAAAAAGGTGTTTTTTTTTTTGTTCTTTTTTTTTTTTGGTCCATTTGGACCATTTCTCAATTGATGCGTGTGTCATCCTTGTGCAGTGGCCATCCTTATGTTCTCTGTATCGTTCCAATCTTAATGGATGTCCCGAAGGACAAGGTATTTTATATGGTCATTGCACGAGAGAAGGTTAAAGGAGACCCTAATTTTCAGACCACTTGCCATGCCATGTATAAGAAAACCAAAAGGTCATTTTAATCAAACTTGCCATCAATTCGTTCCAATTTCAGAAATGGTTGCCCTGGGACACACGTCTGTCATTGTGCGTCTTGCAGGAAACAATTGGCAGCTGAGGCAGCAAAGGAAAAGGAGAAGGAAGATAAGAAAGCTGAACGTAAGGCAGCTCGTGCTGCGAAGGCAGCAAGACTAGCAGAAGCTGCTGCTGCGGAAGCGGCGGCGGCCAGGGCTGCTCTATTTGCCACACCTACAAAGATGGATTTCAACCATTGTCCTCCTGTGCAGATGATAGAGTTCTTGGACGGAGGGGTAGCGAACTACTGTGGGCAGATTGAGCTTCAACACCACCAGCATCAGATGATGCTTTCAGAGGTGGGGCAACAGGAAGGGGGCCATCAGCAAGCGTCAAATCAGGAACAGGGAGGGGTGCAGCCACAGGAAGGGCAAGAGCAACAGCAAGTCGAGCAAGGCAGTTTTGAGGGGCAGTTTCAAGAAAAGCATGATGATAGGGATCGAGTGCAATACTGTGTTGAAGTAGATGGCGACAGGTGTGGGGATGTCGATGATACCGAAGAGGTGGAGGACGGAGGAGAAGACGAGGGGGAAGATGCAGAGGAAATGGACGAGGGTGAGGACGGCGATGAAGGGGATGAAGATGAAGAAGAGCATGAGGATTACGAGCAGCAAATGCATGGTGTGGAACATGAGACAGGGCCGTACCATGAGCCGGTGGAAGCTGATGAGCAGCAGGAGTATGCCATAGAAATGCAACAAGCGCAACAACAGGAATGCCAACAAGATCAACAGCACTACCTTCAGTTGCAAACCCCTCAGCTTGAGCACGAGTACGTGTCCGTTGCGGCACAAATCGACCCCTCGTCCGGTCCTTGCTCGGACTTCCCAGGTGAAATGCACACGCATGGACACAAGATGGTGCAGCACTTTGCTCTCCAACGGGTGGATATCCATGAGCATCAGCAGCAACAGGGTCAGCAGGAGGACGAAGACACCCAGCATCAGCAGCAGGTGATTGCGGATTACCCTGCAGAATTGCATGGCGAAGGGCCGGAAGGTGAAGGGGAAGCCGACGGGGACTACGACAGTGCTATGGAGCAGCAAGTGGACGAAGAAGAATACGTTGCACAGATACAGACAGGAGACGCAGGACAGGGACAGCAAGAGCATTATGAAGGTGGGCAGATTTCCCAAGGCCTTGGCGATGTTACCGTGGAGGACTATAGACAACACATTGAGGTGGACGAAGGGCAGGAAGAGTATCCTGGAAATCGGGAGGAGGAGGGGGATGGAGAGCAGCAGTATAACAGGGAAACATCGGAGGACGAAAATGAGGGTCAGAACGGTTCCGAGATGGCGACAGCATGTAAACAGCAGCAATATGGCCACATGCAGCAACAACAGCAAGAGTGTGAAAGCTATGCGTCATCGGGCATGCAGTCGCCGGCCAAGGACAATGTACAGCAACGCATGTCGGAACAGCGGCACTTTGCCGCAGTGGATATCCGACAACACGGAGATCAACAGCAGCAGCAGCAGCATTACTTAACCAGTCCTTCCGAGCAGTCGCCCAAGCAATACCTTCAAGGCGATGCCGCTCAGCGTGATCAGCAGCAGCAACAGCAGCAGCAACACCACCAGCAACAGTTGCAGCAGCATTATTCGCCAGCTGCGGTCAGTCAGAAACAGCATCACTATTCACAGGAGCACTTCCAAGGTCAGCCTTTGCAACATTCACCTCAGCGGTTTGCACATAGGCAATCGCAGCAGCATCAGGGCGCACAGTCGTATCCCCATCCTCATGCAATGTCACCTCAGCAATTCCACCACCATCATCACCAGCAGCAGCAGCAGCAGCAGCAGCAGATGGCGCATGGAAATCAGGGACAACCATATCACCGCACACATCAACCACCCGTTTCACCTCAACACCACCGCCGTATGCAGCAGACGCATCAGGTGCAGGTTCAAAGTTCGCAGGCGGTGATGTATGGGGGACCTCATCATCATCCTCTAGGGGGGCACATGATGGGGACATCGCCGTCCATGGTTGTCCCTTCGCCACATCAGCAGGCGCCTCCTTACAGCGATGGTGGCCTTGTCGATCAGGGGATGGCAACGATCGGGCTTGGGCATGGAGGGAGCGGACAGATATCGCATCAGCAGGGTACGACACGTATGTACATGGGTCCCATGTCTCCCATGAGTCCAACCACTCAAGGGGGTGCAGCCTCTGGAGGGAGTGCCGGAAACTTGCTAGGGAGTGGATTGAACATTGGGATGGGTCAGCCCATGGATGCAGTGCAGCAAGTAGGTGCAGCAGCCCCATCGATACCAGATCATAGCCACCAATACCAGATGTATGGAATGGGGATGGGTGGCATGCCCATGCATTACCCTCACGACCCCCATCATCAAACGTTACGGAGAGAGTGAGGTGAGTTTTTCTGTAAGATATAGGGGTGGTTTAAGGTGAGTGAGGAGTAAAGCAGACTGACTATCGAGTACCCTGAGCGATCAGAGCCTTTTTCCAGCTTAGGCTAGCTTCCTGATGGTGGCCTCTCATTGAACCGAATCAGATGCAGGGCGCTGAGGGCAAGGATGGGTTTCTCTGTTTTGGTTTGAGAGGGCAAGTCGCTCAGTCGTCGTTTGGCGGGGTTGTGCGGTTACACGTGAGGATAGGCAGGCTTTATTGGCGGGGGGGGGGGGGGGGGAGGGGACTGCATATCTGTTCTGTGCTTGTAAAGCAGTGTACTACCACTTCCTCAGTCAAGATGAACCCCCTGCATTCATATCGACTCACGAATCCCCGTTGAGATTATTATTAAGACATAAATGGTGAAGTTTCAGCGGAGCGCGAGTCTCCACTGTATCCAGGTATCACCACTACCGTCTTCACCCGAATAGAATGTATGGTCATTATGGCTGCATCTGGGCTGAAAGTTGCCCCACATACAGATATAATGGCGGGGTGTTTTATTCGGGCGAAGACGGTAGGTACCGTCCTTGTGATATCTGCAGTCTCTGGCGACGATTAAGTGGCTACAAAGTTGACGCAACATGTTCTTGTTGCCAACCGGTGAAGGTGGTCGCGTCTCTCAAGGAGTGTTTTGGCAGTTCGTTACTTCAAGCCAATGAGCAAGCAGTCACATCTACATGTGTGCCTCTGGAACAGTCACTAGGTGGTAGGAGGAGGAGCCAGTCTCAGAAAAGGAAGTTGGATATTACAAGAGGGGGGGAAGGGGGGAAGAGGGGGGGGGGAGGGGGCGAAGCCTCCCCCTTTCATTCGATCACCCCGACGGATCAGGGATCAGGTCCTCCTTTACTCATCACTCATGGATTGAGCTCAGTGCTGTCCTGCAGTTGCAGTGAGTCAGTTGATTTCACTGTCATCATAGACTCCAGTGACTTCAGTGAGACTTCAGTGACTTCAGTGCCCACTATGACCTCAGTGACTAAAGGTCCATGCTGCCAAATCTACTCATCGGTGAGCCATGGTCCATGCTGCTGAATCTACTCCAGAGAATGAGGTAAGAAGGGTGGAAAGTAGTGTGAATCAAAGGGAGAGGTTGAGACTACATATTTCCAAGTAGTGGAATGCCCCTCTTTTGGAAAGTGAATTCAGAGAGGTGATGAAGAGTTGATTGATGGTAGTTAGTTCGATAGCTGAGCGTTGCGGGGGTGCTGAATGGACCGCTGACTCTTCAGAGTCTCTGATGTGTTCGCCAACAATGGGTTACTCAGCAGAGAACATTGAAGAGTGACACTAGAGGCAGATTCATAGTGTCTTATTGTGCATGATTTTGACACGTGGAAAAGCCTTCAGTCTCGGGTAGAGGAGAAGCTATACTCCCTGTGAGTTCCTGCCAGTTTCACCGACTCCCCCTTGCATTTCGTGTATCGCCAACATCCACTCACTCCATGCCTCACATATACTATGTCACACATTCTCACAGGTAGGCAGGTGTGACATGAATCCTCGGAGTCACCTGAGCGTGCCAAGTGCACTAGTCTAGGTAGGAACAACTTAGACGAAAAAAACAGCTAACTTACGACAAGGAGAACGCTGTTCGTAGCCAACAACATCTACTGTTCCACACAGTCTTCGCACGAATGCCGATTATTCTTTCGAGGCATACTGTTCTTGTTAGGTATATTTAGCCCATGCAAGCGAGCGAGCGAGCGAGCAAGAGAGAGAGAGAGAGCGAGAGAGCGAGAGAGAGAGAGAGAGAGAGAGAGAGAGAGAGAGAGAGAGAGAGAGAGGTGGTGTGGACAGAATCCAGGGTATGGGACCATATGGCTGAAAGTGATCTTTTTGTTTACTTAGGACCACTGTTGCTAGCGATATGATTACAGATTGCGGTGAGGAGAAAGTCCTTTGATTGGAGGGGGGGCAGGACGCAGCTCTGCACCTGGAGATGGTGCAAGGGACATGCAGACGCACTTGTTTGCATGCACATGCACAGCGATGCATGGGTAGGTAGTATTCCCATCGGACATGTCGGCCAGGAACTTAGATTTTTACCAAATGTTACATTTTTGTAAATATTGCCATGAAGTCGTGCAACCCCTGTCGGCTGTCAGCAACTCTTAAAAAAAAAAAAGATGCGTGTGCCAGTTCAACCCTCAGGCTCTGTTCAGCAGAGCTCAAGTTGGATGAAGCTGGATCTTTGATCGGCCTTTCGAGATCGATGTTTGACATATAGTCTGATCTGTCTTGCTGTGCTGTGAGAAGTTGGGACTACATGGTTCAATAAATGATGGGCAAGTGCAATGGTGATGTGCGAATTGCGTTCCTGTTGTTAGTTTGAGCAATGTGTGTGACGGGGCAGCTGCATCATAACAGCTGTGTGGGACGAGGACTTCTGTATCAGCACTGTGTTGTTTGTTCCTTGCATAAAGTGGGGGTCGCAATCATGTAGTCGTATTTGCATCTTTCTGTTCTTTACGACAAAAAAGAAAAGGCAATTCCATGACATGCGCTTGCAAGCACGTTTGGTGGATACCACAATGATTGACTTGAAAAAAACAGGACATGTGCGGAATCGCGTTAGTCATCCCAAAATCTTGATCTTGCGAGAGGTAATTGTCCTGACTCACGGTCGCTGTGTTTGCCTGTGCCGACTTCCACTTGCCAAGTTGCCATCTCCCTGTGGACAGAGCAGCAGTGCAGACAAGTGGTCAGTTATGCACCACCGTGTCGGCATTCGACAACGAGAAAAAGTCGTTATAGAACACAGCAGCGAGAACATGAACATGAGTGGGGTTGCAATCTAGCAGTGGGCAAGGGAAGAGGCTGCGCAGCAGTGGGCGACCTGTCAAGAGACTCCTATACCCATCCTTGCTGCCAGGGATCAAAGGGAAGCCCAGGAAACTTCTATGCCTAGGTTACCACAGTGCCCGGGGACCACTTGCCCTCCCGGGCCAAAAAATATATAGCTCAGCCCTCACCTGCTCCACCTATTCCTGCATCAGCTAATCCTCCTCACACATCACCCCTTTTGCAGACACCAGCTGGCTCCCATGTTGCACCTCTTTTGCCAACACCCTCTCGGCCTTTGCCTCTCCTCCCAACGCCTTTGCCTCCGTCATTTGCTATTGATCTTCG